ATTTTTGGTTCTTTTAAATACCGATTGGAAAAAGTATTGATACTAATCTGTATCCGTTGATAATAGTCAGATGAGATAGTATTGATTTACAATATTGATTTGGTATTTGATATTTTAAAAGAAAAGATACATAGTAGACTCCGCTGAAACTGGTTGCAGAATGATACTGTGGGAGTAGTAAAGAATATGAAAGTATAAACTCCACTTAAAATTATATAAAATTTATTAACTATAAAAATTACTGATATAAGCCCCAAATTATTTTTTGTGTCAGCAATAAACACTGAAGTCTGGGTATACTAATGGGTATACCAACGAAAGTCCGGTATCAGATAGTAAGTGCGTTAACTACGATGAACCGAGGACTAGACGTACCTTATCAGTAGTCACTGAAGACTAGTGATTATGGTGGTGAATCAAAATCTATATTTTTTAAATCCTCAAAAAAAAACTCCTTCTTTGTCTTCATCTCAATCGTCGTAGGTCACCAATGTGGGAGTAGTAAAGAATATGAAAGTATAAACTCCGCTTGTATAAAATTATATAAAATTTATTAACTATAAAAATTCATGATATGAAAATCTAGCCTGCTTGATTTCCCGCACAATACCAATGTTTGTGATATTTTTTTCAGTGCATACAAATAATAGACTTTTATAAAACTATTTTCTATAAATATTTCCTACATTATTATTGAAGAATTATTATTTATCGTCACGAATAAAATACTCTGTAATGTAGAACTATAAAAAGAACTATACGTTAGGTTATATTTTAACTGTGGACTGTATTACACACTGATTCGTGTGTATATATTAGGTATTTGTTGCAAGTTCTTATAACAACTACTGATGTGCTACTAAATATTATTTTATTGCAGATTTAATATATTAATTACTTGTTTATTATACATATTACCACGCGGATTATATTTGAAGGTGAGAAAATAAGTTCAATACATTAATGGGCTGTCTCAGCCCCCAGAGGTTGCAGCCTTTCTGTACAAAAGCTCAATGCCATGAAAATCGCTGTCTTTATGGACAATAAGATAATACAAAAATGCATCGGAACAAAAATATTTTTTCAAACAACAAGGTAGATTGTTTTTTTAGAAGCGTCGTCGACTAAAACTATAGAGTCGAAATATCGATTCCAAAAGTAGTCACCGTAAATTAAATATCGATAATTGTTAGTACTCGATATTGTCGTTCTAACACTATATGACTCCGTCATCGTCGCCGTCGCCGCTGAGTTTTTCGCCCCTTCGCGCCTTTTCTATCGCACCCAGGGCGAATATTGTGTTCATACATCATGCGCCAATAGTTAGCGCAAACATTTCCACAGACGCGCAAATGTTTTTATAATCGCTGCTGTGTCACGGAAATTTTTCGCACAGATTTAGATGTGAAAAATATGAATATAATACCGGAGATGAATAACAAAAATTAGGAAGGAGTGCGGGTTATGATTTTTGAACCTGCCATTGATAAATTTGAGGATTGGAGAGAATAAAATTAGACGTTTCAAGAAATTTCTTGTCATCAATACAAGAAAAAGCTTGAATATGAAATGTAATTAGAAACTTATTATTAGTTTGTACAAGATCTCAATTTAATCAATGCATGTTTTTATCAATAAGTAAATTGAGAGTTTTTTGGATAAATCTGTACAAATAAACATTTTTGTGCATTTATAAATACTCAAGAGATGTCTCTATTGGGTGCGCGAAATGTGTATTTCTACGTATTTTTTACCGCTGAACACGAATCACAAGTCAAAATTGGGGGTTGAACTGCAAAAAGGGAAAAACAATAAACAATAAAAACGACAAAATTTTCGATCTAGCACGACAGTTAAAATCTTGTAATTTGTCGTTTTGGGTCATTTTTCACCTAAAATATTAGTGCAATTAATTAAATATAATATCTTCTTGCAGGTTCTTCTTTCAAATTTTGCCTTCTTTTTTTATTTTTCTCCGTTTTTTGCAGTTTGACCCCCAAGATTGACTTAAGATTCATATTCAGCAATAAATAATGCAGACACAATTTTTTCAATTCATGTATTTCGATAATGCAAAAAAGTGTAAAATAGTATAATAGCACATTGTTACATATGTTACTTCCCAAATGTGAAAACATTATTGCAATAACCACTAACAATAGGTCAATAACCGCTGCCATACCGTTTAATTACTTCTATCTATCTATTCAAATTTTCAACAAAGTGTACAAATATATATATGTATATATATATATATATATTGTATGATTCTGAATTTGATGTTGACATATGTATTAACAAAATCTGATAATCGGGCATAACATCAATAAAAAATATGAATTTCTTTCAAAAATTTATTTTAAATCCACACGTTTCGGCTATAATCCTAGCCTTCATTCAGTGGAAACTAAAAATAAAATTGAAAACTAAAACAATCGAATTGGAGTGAAAAGAAAAAATAAAATAGTAAATAGTACTTACAGTTAGTTAATTTTAGTGTTAAATTGGAAAACACAAATATTGTGTAATTTCAAGTTAATGTTTATAATACATAGTGTAGTGCATTACCATATCCTGATACCATGGATTATTATAATTTTCTAATTTAACACTAAGATTAACTAATTGTAAGTACTATTTACTATTTTATTTTTTCTTTTCACTCCAATTCAATTGTTTTAGTTTTTAATTTTATTTTTAGTTTCCACTGAATGAAGGCTAGGATTATAGCCGAAACGTATGGATTTAAAATAAATTTTTGAAAGAAATTCATGTTTTTTATTGATGTTATGCCCGATTATTAGACTGTTAATATATATATATATATATATATATATATATATATATATATACATAATACTTTATTACTAAATTCTGACAAGGATAAAATTTCACCGATTAAATGTACATAAATTAAATTCTATTGATTTAGATTGCAATTTACTAAAAAACATACTCAATTATAACAAAATATACAATAAAAAAACAATTAAAAATATAAAATAAAATAAAAGTGTAGTATAATGTAATATAAAATATTTTGCTACGAAACGTTTTCCTTTTTGAAGTTAAACGCGGCTTTCCACATGCAATAGAAGCCAGCCAAGCCAAAACCCACTAGTCCGCCCAGCGCACATTTCCGCAGACCGGCTGAAATCCAAAACAACATCTACGCATTTCGATATTCAAATAAAAATATAAAAGAACATATATATAAAAATATATATAAAACTGCATTTACCGTACCAAACGAAAATTTGCATTTACTACTACTTATTTCCAACAAATTTTATCTCGGCGTTCATGTTTATCATATAAGTTTACCCGTGCATTTATAAAACGCTCCGGTCGAGGCAGCGGCTGCTAGAGTGTTTATGTCATCGTCCTCGCCGCGAATCCAGCAAAAAAGTACCCCGAATCCGGAATACATCACGGCCACCGTTCCGAGAGTGTTCGCCGTGGCCGAACCTTGTTTCATAACGTGATTCAGGATTCTGTCGAGCACACGTGAAAGAGAAATAATGGCAGAAAAGGGCACTCTATTTTTTTAAAATAATCATATAAACAGATTATACCCGATGCGTTGTCATTATAAATGATGAAATCTGTTTACTATAAAAAAGCTCGCTATATCGCCTTTGTGCTTCGTTAAATTTCTTTATTAAATAAAAGCTATTGCTAATATTTTTTATATACGTTTCACCTATGAAAGTTTTCACACGAAAACTACTATATAAATCCAAAATTATATTCTGAGAAAAACAATGTAAGAAGATATTTGATATAGAGGATACTGGGTACGATTGTGCCAGTGGTAATAACAGCTAAATTATACTGATTTTGAAAGAGGGTCCAGAGGAAAAAAAATTAGTATGTTTGTTCGAACAAGTTTACATTATTGCATTGAGTCCTTGAGTCCTGAGGGCGTAGAAGATTGTGGCACTCGCCACTTTTCGTCTGATTTAATTTTTTGACAAATCCATCATATTTTATGACAGCATTTCAGTATTTCCATGTAGGCAAATGTTCAAATAGCCATTTAATTTAATTTTTACCTAGATATCTGGTATATTAACCAAATTATTGTTAAGTAAGTAAGATAAAAAAGTACGACAACTGTACCCGGAGTTTCTGCTTCAATTCATAACTAAAATCTTGGTTATGCTTTATCCTTCTTTAAGGGGGTATTCTAGTGTAGAACGATGAATTTTAGGTCATTTTTAAAGTGTCGTACAAGAAAGCAATAAATGTTTTCACTATCCATTTTCTTACCACTTGTTTATTAATATTATTAAAATACAAAACAAAAATTGGTGGTATCAAAAAATTGGCACCTCAGTCTTGGCATGATTTCAGCCCTCCTAGCCATCGGAAATGCAAAAAATAAAAAGTTTATTAATCTACAATGATGTCGCAATCGTCCGAACTAGCGATGAGTAAAAAAATTTTTTTTACAAATTGGCGACTGTTTGAAAAAAAGTTTTAAAAAAAAACTGTTTTTTTGAGTTTCTCGAATTTTATAAAAATTGTAAAAATTGGAATTTGGAAATAATCCTAGCTCGGGCAATAGATAGGTTTATAAACAAGACTCTCTAAACATTTCAAGTGAATCGGTCGATTAAAACTCGAGAAATCGACGAGACCGAGTCAGTAAAACGCCTATATCTCCGGAAATAAATCAAATTTTTAAAAACCTTCTCGTACCCATATTCTTAGATAGTAAACTTTGAAAATATGGAATAAAAAAAACGATTTTTTTGAATTTCTACACTAGAATACCCCCTTAAATGCAACATTTTACCTTATTCTAGGGGAAGTTATTTTTCATACACATTTCTGTAAATCATCTTTGCGGCATAATTTCAAAATGATGGGTATAAATTATGTTTTTTTTTTAAATCGTAATATTTCAGTTGATATACGTGTATTACCTACATGTAGAATTTTAGTAAATTTATTAGTTATTTTTTATAGGAAAATCATGCGATAAATAATTTCGAAATCCGTAATTACTATTTTTTCATCATAAATGCTTTTTTTTTTCAAAACAAATAATAATTTTAAGTAAATTATGGTAAAAGTAATCGCTTTTTTAATAAATCATTAACGATTAAGCAGAAGTATAGTCCAGTTGAGAATTTTTATATGATTATCATCTTTCGTTAAACAGTTCAAATAAGCAAAATATCTACAAAATTACTCTCTACACCAAAACTAAAGCGCACTACTCCGAGCAAAAGCCCGGCGGTTTGTATAATCACGTTTGTTTGTTCGCCTGTGCATTTGTGTATCTCAATTCCGCTACCGCATACTACCAGTAGCGTTTCAAACACAATTTCGCGAAGACATTACACGCAACCGACTAATAATCGCGAACAAACAGAACTCACTGTGTCCTGCGCAGATTTCCCGTCTGTTTGGCTCGTGCCGTGGCCTTAAGGCCGTTGTACATGCCGGCCATCCCGCCGAGCGTGGCGCCCGCTATGCAGCAGGAGCCAATTTGGGAAAACGCGAGCTCGAAGCGGCCGCGCTGACGGCTGGAACCTTCCAGAAAAATAAAGTCCGGCTGGCCCGTCGGCAGATAGACGGGGTTGTAATTCAGATATGGTGAGAGCTGGTAAACGCTTTTGCCGGATTTTGGCGGAGCTGAGGATGGGATTTTGTAAATGATGGTCAAGACACTATATATCCCCAGTAAACACCGTGTGATGTGAGCGTCGGCAGCAACCTGAAATCCACAAGCATTCTTTCGGCGCTGTGACACCCATGTATAATCATCAATGTGGACTTCAGATTGCTACCGTCGCCCGGTGTTTACTGATAGTTATTTCATAGTATCATTTCTGGCTTAAGTTATTTGCTTCCTAATAGAATCTAGTAATAATAGATACGCAAAATGGATGTAAATAATGTATGAGCTAAACTGAGTACATAAGCTGAGTTAACCTCTAGGATGGTCAATGCAATGGTTACGGATTTGACTAGTTAACAGTTTGGCTAATTATAGTGCTCTGATTCATATAATATCATTTCAAATTTTTAATGATTATATGAACTACAAAAGGTCAATTAAAAACCGTCGATTTTATCATTGTTACATATAGCCAAAATATACCAAAGCTCACAACAATCTTCTCTAAATAGAGACTTTAGCTCAAAGACCGGCTCATAGTGTCACAGGTCCATTTAAATCAAATCTGTTATTTAACGTTTTTATAAATCATTACTTATATCATCAAATAAATTTCAAACAACATGCAAATAATATATTCTGAACTAATATTATATATAAATTAATATCTTCTGGTGTGCTTGATTATGTATTAAAAAGCAGCTGTATTAATACATTTGATTAATCAAGTTATTACAACTTAATTACAATATTTGAATATTAACATGTCATCTAGATCATAGAGACATTTATTTAATTAACATTTAAACTTTCCATACTAAAGTGCTTATTTTGACATTATCGACAGAGTTTTCTCTAATCAATCTAATATCAACGTTCAGAAAAATCACTTTAAAAATCATTTTAAACAAGCATTCATATACAGCTATGTTATTGTTCATTTTTTATTAAGCCATATATGTTTTCTCAACTCTAGTATATGCACAATTATAACATATATATATATATATATATATATATATATGTATATATATATATATATAGATGTATATATATATATATATATATATATATATAAAATATTTTGATAAAAATATAATAATTGTAATAAAAATTTATTTATGGGTATCTCATGTATCTGAACTATCGTAACATTTTCTTTTATTGCTGATAATTATATAGTTCTAATGTATTTTTTATGATCCTTAATATAGATTTTCATTGCATGAAGTCGTAAATATGAAATAATTTGTTTCAGGCTATAACATTATACACTTTAATTTTTTTAATGCAGCTTAGCTATTCATACGAATTCTTGTCAAAAATTCTATTCGACACTTTATCAAAAACAAATATTTTCAACTGTTTTTAAACTAGTCTATCTATTATTATTTATTATTAATTGTGACAAATTTTCAAACTGTCATTTTTCAATATCATTCAGAAAATAACAAAGAATAAAAGGTAAATTTAAAAAAAAAAATCGTAAAGTTGCATATTTGTATTATACAAGTTTTGCCTTTAACGTATTTGTTCCTCTATTCCTTAAGTCTATTCCAGCAAAAACTACGAAGTTTTTGCTCCAGATAGTTCTATACCTGGAACTTCCATATTTGCAGAATCCTCGCCAACCGGGGTAGAATAATACTCCATTGTGTTGAATTTAATAGCACAATTTTGTTCATATCATAAAAATATAATTCTCAAAAAACATATCTACTAAAAGTCAAAAAATGTATTTCAATTGTTTCAAATGCCATTATTATTAGAATGATAATTTATAAATATTACCTATAATTTGTTATACGCTTTTCTTATTATGACTTATCTGATATTTATGTTAGAAAGTAGGCAAACGAGTACTGCTACTTTGGGCTCAAAACTAAATGATTGGCAAGATTAAAAAAATAAAAGATTATAAAAAATATTCAAATAGCAGAAAAATGCAATATTTGAAAAAAGGGTCTTATTTCAAAATTCAGCATATCATCCACAAATACTGTGTTCGGGCAACTAGATTTCAGTATTTTTTCCTATCTCGTCACTTCACAATGCAATCAGTGACTTTATAATAGCAACTGCATAGAATCACAAATAACTTTATATGCAATATATTTATTCTATCGATGTCTGGAATTCTGGCTGATTGTGCCATTGCCGGTGTCTATTGCCGGAGTAATATGATTCTACAATATTCCCCCGACGGCAACGCCTCTAGTTATCGTAGAAAAACTAGAATACATATATATATATATATATATATATATATATGCGAATATAGTTCTCAAAATAAATATACTGTCAACTGAAATGAATGCAAACACATGATTTGCGTCGGTGAATCTATAAATTATATAGGCCTTGTTACCTCTAACAACGTGGGTGATCGATAGAATCATTTTTAACAAAAATGGAAATATGTTTATGAATATATATATATATATATATATATATATATATATGTAAGAAACAGCAAAACAAAACATAGATTTGAAATTTGTTTCGAATTTAACTCCGTTAGAGGCAATACAATATTTTTATTATTTAATGCTTTACTTATTCGAATGAATTTGTAAACGTGACGTAAAAATCGATAGATACACCCTGGTTGTATTTTTTTTTAGTTCGTTGTATAAAATATCTTGTAAATTTTAAATGGTCTGTAAAATGCCTTCAGTAAGCTGTTGAAGCTCTTCGATTTCTATATTGCAGCACTATGAATAAACAAAAAATACTAAATTCGTAACTATTAATCAATCAATATATTATATATTAATATTCAATATATTAATCAATAATCTCGTTTATTTTGAGAAAATATAAAAAATTCTAGAATGCGTTATTAGACTAACAATTAAAATAAAATAGTAATTAAATATGAAAATCACTATATATCGTTTAAATAATATTTCAATGAATGCTGTTCTTAACTCTCTAAATAAAACTCTGCCAATATATTTGTAGAATTTTATGATAGAAACACAAGTACAAAATTAAATTTACTTTTTTTTCTTTATTGAAATGGTTTCGAAATTATTAGATATTTTATGAGCTTTTTGATGAAAGGCAATACATCAAATGACCAACTAACTGAGATGTAGTTTTTATCAGCTTCCCAACACTATTAGAAGGAACCTAATAGAAGAAGGTTGCTTTACTGATTGTGATATTGCTATACCCACAGAATGTTATTTTAGGTTACAAAGGGATTTTTAAGGAAAGTTAAATTTGGGATCAATAACCTCAAACAAAAATTTGATATCATGCTTCCTGATATCGAGCTTGGGATCGACCCTAAGAACTATTTTGGGCTAATCCATGTCCTTATGGATTAGTTTACAAAATATGATCACTTTATATTAATCTTTTCTATTGAATATATCATCAGTGATTACGACAACAATATTTTTCATAAATCGATGTCTGAAACTTTAATTTTCCATATAAGCAGCTGTTTTATTGCAGTGATCAAATTACCAATTTCGTGCAATAAAATTTACACAAACTCCTTTTCTTTACAAATTTCATACCATAATGGTTTCATAATCTTATTATGCGGCGTATCAGACATATTCCGGGTAGAAAGAGCGCACGCTTATTAAAAATTGAAGTCTTTATTCCTACGTCACTTGTTTGATATAGTCCCCGTGCAGTACTCTCTTTTTACACAGCTCGGTAATACTTCTTTAAAATCGTGTTCTTTATGTGTTACACGAGAATAGACATGAATAAAATGACAGCAGAAAATTGAAATGGGAAAATGCTTCAGCGCACAGATTTATTCGTGTGAGACCAATGTTTTGAATATATCAAGACGAAGATTTAAAAATGCGGTCTGGCTGGAATATTATTTCTTCGAATAATTTTTATACACGTTCTATTTGTAGATAGTGTATCTATGTCTACTCGGAAAATAGATAGCTGGGTATAAGCATTTAACAAATGCGTAATATTCGGTAATGTCATTTAATTACTTTAGTTGACAAATTGTTTGACCAGAAATTCTGGCCATATTGTCTTTACAGTTTGCTTTTCCCTAAAAACTGCGTTCAGTAAAAATTTTCTTTCACATCCAACATTATTTCCTAGTTTGTATTATATATTCGATCATTGGATAATTGTTCAACCGTATACGACATTTAAAATAAAAATACCTGAATTTTTGGTATTGAAACATACTCCAGTACATGCAGGTCACACTTAGGTTCCTAGAAACCACTTAATCTTCAAATCCATAATCGCTCAAACCAAATGTCTTTAGGATGTTCTATTAAATAAACAAGTGTCAAAATATTATGTCGCCCCGTCATTATACTGAACACATATTGCTTTATAAAGGAAAGAAAAGAAAACAGAATAAATTTCAAAGAATCAACATAATTTTTTTAAATAAAACTTCAGTTCGAAATAATCTCCCCGATCGTTTTTCGTTCGCAAAAGTATTTTTCCGTATAATTTGATACAAATGACTTGTACAAAAAGAAAACGATCAGCTTTTTAGTTTTCCGTGGCCTCCGTGCCACAAACAGAAGTGTGAAGTAACGAAGTTTCATAGAACTTTTCAAATATTTCTGTCACTGTTGAACTTATTCGCTCAAAGTTATTTATGTGCCGAATAACGCGCGTAAGTATACCATATTACAAAACTTAGAATTCGATTTATTCCGCAATGCACGGAAAAAAGGATAAGAGATGATGCAGCAAGACAGTTTGTAAGTAGTATTATTACATTTGTTGCAAGATTTTGGATTCGGTAATCGCCAACTTTCAGGTCACGTAGGAGGGTAATAGAAATTTATATAAGCAATTTGGCATATTACTCTACAATTTAATTTCCTAGAAGCTGTTGATCTTGAAGACAAATCAATTAAATTACAAATTACATTTGCAGAACAACAGTTATCAATTTGGGTTTGAGTGATAATAATGAATTGAAATGACATCAATAATAAAATATATTTGTTTATTCACCATTCTTATCAAAATTTATATAAAAAATAGCTCCATCAGTAGATAAATATTTCAATAATTTAATAAAATCATACAATTTGTCCAAAATAATCACATTTTAATTTTTGTCGGTCCAACGCTAAGCTAATTTTATTTGTTTTATTTTTTTAGAGCGTTTTGTATAAATATACAACAGAATAATCCTATACAATTTTAATAAATCTATAAAATTCTTGTACCAAACCAATTATATTTTCCTCTTAATGGCTCCAAAAAATGCTTTTAAAATATAAAACTGTGCTCGAAAATATTAGGAAACGAGTACGAGCAGGAATCGTTCGTGTCGAAATACTCTCCGGAACTACAGTTTTCAATTGGTCAGGCGTGATAATAATGAATTGAAATGACATCGATGTTAGAGAGGGCGGTTGGGCACAAATAATGATGAGAGCGTAGAGTTCGAGAGCTTTTCGGGTATGATTGAGAGCTTTCTGCCGCGCACGACACATTAGAGTATCCACACTCAACCTCGGCCCCTCGGCCCTTCGCCCGGACTCCCGGGTATACCTGTGTTCTACGGGACTCCCGGACCCGGATCGAGTTTTGTTTGCAGTCTGCTGTGACTAAAGATCGCCCCAAAACTAATTATTGTCTGCTTCGGAATAGATATCGGGTGGTTATACAATGACCGACACGATAGTGGAGAAGTTTGTTAGTTAACTTAGAGATTGCTTTTCAGCTTCGTATTAATCGGTTTATATTTAAATTTATACATTCCATGATTTGCCAGCTTAGGCATAAACAATAAACAGTAATTAATTCATAGCATAAAAATTATATGCAGCTGTTTCTATATTCCGTCCTTATATTTAAGGAAGTGACAACAATTTCATTTGTGATGTTAATTAGAGAGACCAGAAGGCTAGAGCTAAATTTAACTTGTAGGACTACTAATCATAAAAACTAGTGATGATGGCATCGTGCCTTAAGACAAATTGCTGGAACTTCCCGTACCGTAACGGAATATTCGAGGATTATTAAATGTCCAAATAGATTATTATAAATACTATAACATTGTCTAATAATTATAAGAATTAAGTAAACTGAATTGTTAAATTAAAGTTACTTATTTAAAGTATATGTGTATTTATTATTGGCTGTGGTCCCAGTCAGTTACCGGCTGTCTACCTGAGATAATTTTATTCTATATTATTCCTGGACATAACTTTGAATATTCATGTCTTACACGCGTTAAAACAATAATTTTTCTCCGCCAAGTTTGGTAAAGAAAGCATCCGAGAAATCATAAAATGCCCACTTAAAATTTACGACTTATTATATCCTCGCAATTTCTCATCATCGAACTTTTTAGCCCAGATTGAAGCGCGGGGTATAAATGTGGCCTTTCTGTTTTGCACAATAAAATCGTCTCCTTCCAGAGGGCAAAAGTGCCGCCTCATGTTAGTATTACATCAACGCCTCACCTCGTAAATTTCGACGAAGAATGCTGAAGTCATAACGAATTTCATGCGGAAGAATATGACTTGAGCGCAGTCGAGGGTTGCCAACTTTCATAATATCAAATTATGTCAATGTCTACCTCGTTCGTGAATAATGTGCTCGGTTTTGAAAATAATCAGGAATTTTATGGAAACACGCTGAGAATTTAAGTTGTATATTAGAAAATTTGTGCTCATAGAATA